TCACAGACATGGCAAAAAAAATTGACTTTTTAAGAAGACGTTTCATGGTGATGTTATAAAGTTTTGCATAAAGAGCCTAATAAACATAGACCCGCTGTTCACCAGGCAAACCGGTTGTTGGAAAAGGTATAGCTTGCATCTCAGGAATTTAGATTTACGGTAAAGCTAGTCCTTCGCTGCTGGTCCTTTCTGCCAACGCTCCTGATACGCCAGGCCCCACGCGAAATGCCCGATCACTCCAACGAGAAGCTTTTCGCACAAAGAAACATACTGTTTTGTTAAATTGCACACAAGAAAATGAAACTGTGCTCATTATACTGTTAATGTGATGAAAACCTTCTAACGGCTTGAAGTTTTAGTCCGCCACAACCACCACCGTACATGCTACTGTGACCTTTGCATCAGCTACTTAAATGTACAATCACCTGGTAATGATATCGGCTCATTTTTGAGATGCACAAAATCCAGCGCCTAGCACCAGTAAAAGCCGGCCCACGCGTTTGGGCATTTCACGTTTGCGCCTGTAACACCCATCAATTGGCCTAGTGCACCGAGTTCTATACTTCAAAATTTAAAAAATTTAGCTCTTCATATTTCAAAAAACATCAAGCAGCTTTTCCGGAGACATTGGACTCAACGGTGAGGACGGCCATGCATGGAAAGGAGAGCATAAACCTACCCACCTTGCAACACGCTTGGGAGAGCTTGTTGAATCAGTGCACTCTGCACCAGTGCATAGCCAGTCGAGTGAATTTCTCCATGCTCTCATTTTCCTCCTCTGTTTCCTTATGGGCCTCTAGGAATATCAACCCTGCAACTGTACTCAATTGCGCGCCGCAGATCCCGACGAGTGACAACATGCGCGTCCTCTTATCCGTAGCTCTATCCCTGGTGCTCATCGGCTGTCTTCATGCTGTGAATGCGGAGCGCAACCTTCTCCAGTCCTATCTAGAGACATTTCCACCTTACGGTACGTCGCCCCGTCTTGTTTATTAAAGCGACCTGGGCGTTCTTTCAGAGAAGGTACCAAAGTAAACCCGCTTATGTCCTTCCTTCGTGCATGCTGTCCTCCGCAGGCTGCAACCGCGACCCGCAGCAGTCCCGCTTCCGCCTCGACCCAGTCTACACCGTCAGCGGCAACCGGGTGTGCATGACTGCCCGCGTCGTGGACTGCGCCAAGCCGGGCTCGGACTGCTGTGACCCCAAGATTGATTTTTACAAGATCGAGCTGGACGTGAACAAGCAGTGCAAAGGCGCCGTGACGGGGGTCACGGTCAATGGAAAACCAGCTCTGGCACCCACGTTCGACCCCTACGCCACCAACAATACCAAGGCAGTGATTAAGCTTACGGTGAGAGCTGCTGAAGGCGATTGCGCAAGACAGCACGTCGCTTGTCGGCCGACACCTTGGCTTGGTAGTGTAGGGACTACTAATCTTCCCCACTTGGTCCCTTCCGTCGCTTCCCTCCCCAGGGCCTGAATCTTGACCTGACGACTGCGGACGGCGCTGTGGTGTGCATGACGCTGGGCGGCTCGTGTCCCTCCATGGAGACACTCTGTGCGGAGGGCAACGGCTTCTGCAAGTATGCCGTCGTGCACAGTGGAACGTGCGACTGCTGCCCCGTGGGCAAGCTGGGGTTCTTTCCG